CAGCACCGATATGAAATAAATCATTTTAATGCGAGACTTGTAAATTTTTAGGTGAAAAACCATCGAAAAAATTATCGAAATCGAGTCGATTTCAAATTTTCGAATTTCAGAACACTCCTGAAAGTTTTTTTCTCGTCACGTTCTCGAGATATTTGGAGAACTATTAAATCGATTTGTGTTTTTTTTTTGTGCTGTAAAGTTTTTAAAAACGTATTATTCAAGCTCAAATTTCATATTTATTTATTACTTATGTTTATGCATCAACCCTAAAAATTTGAAACCAATCAAACACATGAAGTGTGAACCCCGTCCGTTTTGGTATGGAACGCCCCATATGTACATATGTATGTATGTAGGCATGCATATTTTTAGCTGGTGTGTATGCCGTTAATTGCAATTACTTGATGCCTTGCAGCTACCTACGCTACAGGTAATATCGTTTATTTTTGTTGTTAGCAATTTTTTGTGCAACATATTTACTAGTACAGTACCTGTATATTCATAGTGACTAATGAGAAAAGAAATGAAAAAAATGCAGTTTGATAAGCAAGTCGCCGTAAGCCATTACCGTTGCGGCAAGTTACAAGCCTCTTATACGAAATATCCCCTAAAGTGCTTTCCGGTAACTAGCTGCTCGCAAAGAGTGTGCTTTTTTATGGCTTTTAATTTTTGAAATCCCTCTTTTGCTAATGACTAAATTTTCTTTATATTTTTTGAAGCTGTTAGTTGGCCGTCCATTTTAATTATATATATTATATTAAAAAATCGTAAATTATTAGCCGAAGCTTTCTTCAAGTCGTAGGGTAGGTCTTAGTAGCCGCATTCCTATCGTAATGGTCGGTATAAGGATACCAAAATATTACAAAAATTAGAAAATAATAGTCTAATGTGATCGTCTACGATCAGAGGTTTGGGTAAGACTTACATATACAATCCGTACAGAAATTACTCATTTCAGGCTCTTCACGTATATTTCTTGTTTTCTGTCAGAAAGCTTACTGCACTTTGTTACTTTTGTCCAACTCAGAATTTACGACACATGGTTGACTAGTTTTAGAATCAAATTTATGGCAAGTAATTTTTAGCAAAAAAAAAACCGACTTAAAAAAAAGGAATGTATATATGATATATATATATATCACGATCCACTGATCGGATCTAAACCAGATTAGTATGGGACCACCTCTGAGATACTACTTTTCCGATGCAAAAAAAAAAAAATAATTATCGAAATCGGTTGACGTGGTCCAAAGTTATGCCGTAACATACATAAAAAAAAATAAAAAAATATTCCGACGAACTGATAAGCTTCTCCTTTTTTGGAAGTCGGTTAAAAATCATCATGTTTCCCTACCTAGGAATGTGCGTAGCAAATTTGTACATTTACTGCTTTCACAAAAGATAAAAAATATATTCCAAATAAAGATGCTGTTTTAGGGCTAATAGATCTAGGATAATTGAAAAAGTATTCAAAACCCTCTAGCTTTTGTGGAAAAAATTGAAAATATTTTTTTTGTCCCGCATTCGGGTGCCATAAATATGGTCACCGTAAGTTTAATCAGAGAATTAGCACTCAACTTTTATAATTTTCGCTCAAATTGGTAAAACTCTGTTTTAAAGAATGTAACTATGTATAATTATTAGCTTCAGAGTAACAATTTCATAGCCTTTTTAAGTCCAGCCAAACACATTCCTAATTTCTGTAAAATTACCTTAAGTTCAGTGTACTCAAGCGAAAGCTTAGTTAATCAATTATAGTTATACTTGGCTCAAGCAAACAGATAAACTATTTTCTTCTACTAATCCAGATATTTAGTACATATTTATGTTCAGAATAAAATATGTGCGTGCTAACCTGTCGTCTGTATAATGATAATATTTGCCTGCTTCACTGATGTGAACGAGCTTTAAGTGAAAATGCAAATAGCCCAGTTAACTGATTGCTTGGTAAATAACAGAAAGAAAACTAAAAAAAACAAACACTTTATCGACCCCTATGAATGAGTAAAAATGTTTACTGCTAAATGGATACAGGTATACATATCCATACATACATATGTGCAAGCATATACATATGTACATATGCACTTCCATTTTAAAGACATTGTGCAAACTAAAATAGAAAATGCACGTACATAGATAGTAGAGGTGCTAAATTACATGTTGAAGAATACACTGGCTGATGGGTGAAAATACAATACCCTGCTGGAAATGGGACTAGTTTGTAGCTAACTATTAACTAATTAGCAGTCGACTAGTGGTAACTATTTCTTAACTATTTACTTTGGCCGTAACTAACTATTTTTGAAGGGCGATGGCCGGAAAATAGTAAGAGCTGGTTTCCTTGGCATTAGATGTCAACTAACTTGTAGCTAACTACTTTTGGGCATACACTATCAATAAAAGAAAAATTAATTTTTTTTTTTAATTTTTATATTTTTTTTATTTACTTATTTTATTTAACATTGGATATGTTGCATGTTCTTTTGTAGGTGGTCTCCTATTTGAATTCGATCAGACATAACATCAAAATGATGATAAAAAATTTCGACTTTTATTTAATTTGTCCTGAATACGAAATAGAATCTGCGAAGTGCAGAAAAAAAGTGTATGGAAAGTAATTTGTGAATGAGGATATTTAAATAGAAATTTGCAAAGAAAAAACCTCACGATAACGTCTGCATGACTTCTGCACGACTTTACAACTAACTTAAAGTTAGTTTTGTCTTAGCTAATTGAAACTTAGTTATTTATCGATTTCCCGCAAAGCAAAAGCTAACTAGAAGTTGTTTAATTTAATCAATAGATACTTTTTTTCTGCAGGGTATTTGCGATGAACATTTACCTAACAAATCTATGTAGGTGTAGTAGTATTTATGTACATGAAAATGCATTTAAGCGTCTGACAGTGTCAATAGCACACAATGGTGGCAGCGGAAAGGGTATGCAAGTGGTGCATACTAGGAAACTTTGGCGAATGTGTTGGAAATGGAATACAATAATTGTGTCAAGTGCGGAATGACAAGTGGTCACTATTAGTTGAACGCAACACTTTTACGCTTCTCCACATGCTAAACTAAAATGCTGAAAGCAGACAATTAGCAGACAACTGCTTGTGGCACTTCATGCAGTTCGGTGCATTGGGCTGTGAAGTGTCATATCGCAAATTGCTAGCCATTTTTATGGTTGCCAGTATTGCTGCAAACAATAAAAGCGAAACTAATTATTTACCTTTTCTAAATTTAATACTGTGCGGACTTAATGGTCGCATTGTGCGCTAAAAAAAAAGAAACTTTCCTTAAAGAGGTGGTAGGTACTTCTGTGCTAATACTATATTTAGTACGACAAAGAAATTTGAAAGTGTATGCAACAAAATATTCTGGATTTATGACGGTCATTCCATAAATGATTTTCAATGATTTTCTGCGCGATGGCATTGGATTTACTTTCAATTTTGCACATAATTTTTTTTGTAGGCGTGGAAAACAACGATAAAGTAGCCAATTTGGACCAACAAACAATTTGCAAGTTCACAATTTCTTGTTCAATTTATAAAATTAAGATATCACTGAAAAAATAATTTTTCATAATTTTCTGTTTTTGAGATTGCTATATTTTTAAATTCCTAAATTCTGTTCTAAATTCCCAATTGTTTTTATTTTTTCGACCTAACGATTTATGGTAAAAATACTAAATTTTTCTGTTTATACATTTTTTCTCCAAGATGGGGTCTTAAAGAATTTAAAAGTTATGACCTTCCAAGTTACTTTAAAAAGCAGAGAATATGAAAAAAGTAAATTAAGGCCGGTGCAGAAGCAAGGAGACGTCTCATACTCTACAATAAGAAAAGGGCAAATGAGGCTATCATAAAGGCTGGTCGCAATCTTCTAGTTTTTGAACCAGTCATCGATTTCATTCTAGAATTATTACAGCTCAATTAGGGAACACATCTCTACCAACTGCACTGCGTTGATTATGTGCAGAATGAGCTTTTTCCCATTCTCAGGTAAGTCTGCGTGACAGCTAATGCAGAATAAGCTTGCTAAGAAGGTCGCGACCTGCATTGCTCAACTTGTTTTGAAGCAGTTAGTAGGATGGTCACCAAGCCTTAACCTGCAGCCTGGCACTTAAATTCTTAGCTCTCCATATTTTCTTTACAGCGTAGGCTTAAGCTGTAAATGCAGCACGTTTCTCGCTCTGGGGCAACTGAAAAGTGAAGTGTATATTTTTTACACTAATTTCAAATAGAGCAAAAACGCTGTGAAAATTCCTCTAACGGAAGGTTGACGGTGAAAACGGGAGCTTGATAAATTTAGCTTCCACATAACGCAGTTTCTCATAGGCTAGGGGTACCGTAAATTTCTGCACCGCTTCGGGCTGGATGGCTCTGCTTGCTTCGCGACGCCTGATAAGAACTTTTGCGTCGACCAATACAAAAATAGTGTTGAAAAGCAAAAAACGGGTTTTTAAAGTAAAAATTATTAGTTTAGGTCAAAACGAGTGAAGACCAGAATCCTCATGGGACCAATAATAATAGCACTGATATACCATATCGTATATCTACTAATCTCTTTCGATGCTGTGTGCTCTTATTTCCACCTGTGAGATACATATCGGCAAGTTTTGCAAGGTTTGCCGTGAGTGCGTAATCTTCTTCTTGTTCAGCTTGTATGGGAGGTGCCACGCTCCCTTTTTCAATAACTACCATTTTTTTTCATGCATTTGGCGTTGATGCGAAAGGCAAATATGAGCGCTTGAACACGCTTCGTTTGTGCTGTCGCCTTAACTGCCAAAGCAATGTACGAATAGCACAGCACAGTTGTATCAGCCTCAGAGTTCAGTCAGAGTTTCAGCTGTGCGTTTGCGCGAAATGAGCAAGTAAATTGGTGAATACCCTTAATGAACTGAAATATCTACCTAAATATGTATGTATGCTACTTCCACAGCGAGCAGGCTTAAGTTGATGGTTGACACATTAATTTAAAATTTCAAGTACTTACCGACATTTGCTGCTGTTGTTGCTGTTGCAGCAATTGCTGCAACTGCTGTTGCTTAATTTGATCCTGCTTTTGTTGTTGTTGCGCGAGACTATTGCGAGCCGGATCATATTGAGCGGCTATATGTGCGGCTGCGGTTAACGCCTCGGCTGACGGCTGTTGCGGATGTGGTGGCGGCGGTGGTGCATAGACTGGATTTGGCGCGGATTGTGCAAGTGTCGGATTTTTTAATTTAGTGGCAAATATGCTGTGGAAAATTAAAAACCAAAAGCTCATATTGCGATTTTTTTTTTCGTATTAAATTTATAAGCGAAAGTTGATGAACGAACGAGCTATACATACATACATGAGGAGTATGGTGAAGGAGGAGGGATTAGTGCTTTTGATGCAAGGATTTGTTAAGCTACACAATTAATTAACTACTTTTTAATATTAGTATATCTCTGTTGGAGAATGTAGATAAATTCGTTGAGGGAAAAGTAGAAGTTAGACACAAACACAAATGTATGTGGTGGATGTTTGTACAGTGCAGTCGTGTTAGTGTATGTAGTTTTTCAAAATTGTTGAGATACGCCAAATTCATAGAAGAACTTATGTATTTGATCAGATGATTGGAAAATAGGATGTGACACTAAAAAAATGATAGGAAGTATGTATATTCTGGTAAAATGGACTAAAATAAAACCAGAAGAAAATTACTTAAAAAATACTTCTGGCTTTCAAAATACTTAAGAGACTTTGTTTGAATAATTTATCTTTTATAAGCTCTTTGACGACTAACTAGATTATTATCAAGAAAATATATAAAAATTAAATCAACTTTGCTCTTGAAACTATTATTTGGTTCCTTTAACACTTTCAGGTAGAAGTTGAGTGGTTTTTTTTTTTTTTTTAATTTCTAAGAAATTAGTTCACCTTTGTTTCGAGTTATTTTCACCATTGAAAAATGGATTAAAGCTATGACTAGTGGCGTGTGGTTTCTGAAGGTTATGTGTTTGTTGTTGTTTCTGTTGTGTTTTCAGTTTTTGTTGTACGAGTTGTTGCTGTTGTTGTAATTGCAATTTCTGTTGTTGTACAAGTGATGGCGGACGCTGTGCTTGTTGTTGTTGTTGTAGTGTAGGTGATTGCTGTGCCATCATCGGCCGATACCTTTGATGATGTTGTTTATGTTGTTGTTGTTGTTGTTGTTGTTGCTGTTGCTGTTGCTGTTGCAATTGAGTAATGGTTGGTTGTGTAGTGCCCAAACCCCAAACAAGTATCTCATTCGCATCGTTGTTGGCATTCGGTTTGAAATAATTTGAATTTTCATCGACTTGGGCTGCTCGATGTATTTCGCCAATATAACTGCAACATGAACATGCAATGAGAAAAGAAGAACAGAAAACAAAGCAAATGTGTAGATAGTGTGTTGCTGTAGATGAATGTGTCAGAGATTGTGACGTCATGGTAGAAATGTTGAAACAGCGTTAGGTCAAATGTTGAAAAGTTAGGCCATATGTACATATATATTTATAGAACGAAACACACTTATTTATGTACATATTTATATAGTACTTGTATAGTTTCTATGTATATTATACCGTCCCACCATAAAAGCAAACAAAAAAGTTCGCCGTACACCCCTGGGTCTTCGATATTTTTGGAAAATTACATTTTATTTTTGCCGAATACTTTTTGCGATTTCCCGTGCAAAATCAGGTCTACTTCTGCTATGTACTCTAACTTCTCGAATTTGTAGGAGCCCTAGCATTTTAGTCGTGTTTTTGACAGTGCAGGAAATTGGCATAGAAGATGCTCCAAGGTTTCTCCGGTCTCCCGTTCATGACACTTCCGACACCCATTAGTGATACACAGTTTTCTTTGGTAGCTGTAACAATAAGCGAGTATATTGCTTCCGCTATTGTCGCACGTAATTTTTGTGGCGGAGTTTTTCAAGAGCCAACGGCTTTGGAGTGAACCTCATGATGCACGGTGCTGCGAGGCGACATAGAGCAGTAATGGTGTGAAAATTTCTGTGTAGCACCACCGCAGCAGGGCAGGTGATACACCACAAGTGACTCCCAGCTTTTATTTATATGCATGAAGGGCGTTTTACTGGCCTTCTTCAACCTCTCTTCAACACTACTACTCGCAAATCCTATCTAGCTTTGGGGGTCCCCCTGGGACCCTTGTGAAGGTCTGTTTTGTCGCGCTGACTTTTAACGCGCTGTTCATTACATTACTGATAGTGTCTAGCTACTCCCCAGTTCTACTACACGTCTGTTTCGTCGGCATACGCAACTAGTTTGAGCGTTTTACCGTCGAATTGCTTTAGTAAGTTTTTGATCGCTAGTAGCCACAATAGTGGTCGCGGTGTGCCTCTGCATGCCCGACTCGTTACCCTACCGTCGTTCCTCTCCGAACTTCTTTTCCTGTGGCCTAAACAACGTTTAATCTACATAAGCATGGGTCGAAAGTCCGGTTTTTTAGAATTTTGTTTGGTAATAGCAAAAATATGGTTCTTTATGGTCTAAAAACAATCCCGGAAAGTGGGTGGCTGCAGTTCTTATAAGACTCAGGGACGGCGAACTTTTTTCTGCTACGGTCTAATGTACATATATTTGTTTGTTTTTAAAAGAAATTTATTGAAAAAGTTTAACGTTTATACTTATTCTAGGTGTATAAAAAATTTTAAAGTTGAGTGCTGGTGATGTGAGACGAATACAAAAAAAAATATCCTAATAGTTTGCATTTCCATAATTTTAATAACTTTATATTAACTGACGCGTACGAATTCTTCTTACCTATGCATCTTTTCTTAGTTTTTACATTTATAATTAAAATGTTGTTCACGCTTATTAAAGTCTTTACTTACTCTGATCCCAATCCCGGTCCTGAATTTTCCCAGTTACCCTCATTGTGCTCTAGCGAATATGGGCCGTAGGTCTCGTGTATCGGTGCGCCGTGTAGATAAGTAGAAGGGTGACCCTTTGGTGGTTGAGTATAAATGATTTCCGGTATGGAATGATGTTCGGGCGCATGCCATGCTGGTACAACCTGCAATAAGAGAACATTTTGGCAAACAAAAATTTAATTTGTTTTTGTGATTTTATGGCCTTATAACAATTATATTCAACAATTTTTATTGAGCTCGAGGCCGTTTTTAATGAAAAACTTATTGTAGAAAACTTATTGTGGAAAAGCAACAATAATTTGAAAAATGGTAGAAGTGATAGCTATTTGGGAAATCACCACATTTTCTTGATTATGTGGTCGTTGGTTTTGTTGGTTTGTGTTAATACTTCTTTATTTGTTTTTGTTATTTTATCGCCTTATAACAATTATATTCAACAATTTTTATTGAGCTCGAGGCCATGTTTTAATGAAAACTTATTGAGGGAAAAGCAACAATAATTTTAAGCAACAATAATTTAAACAACAAAGAAATAGCAAATGCTATTTTCAACTCTATAAAATACTTAACTATATTACCTACACTGTAGGGACGCTTCAATAACACACAAAAAAGCATAGAGGTACGTATACTGAACTTTGAGTCGTGGATTACGGATCTGTATACCCTTTCTTAGATCAGCTAATTTTCCCAAGATCTTTTTATTTTAAGTTTGCACGGCGTATAAACAAAAATTCAACTTTTAATGAATTTTGGAAAACGTTACTCATACGCCATATACGTTTATGTACTATTTCGGCCATGTACGATATGGCGTATGAGTAACATTTATTTCCTGCTCCTATTTCATACTAAAATTATTCATATGGATTATTTATCCACCAAGCTTAACCCAAATAAGATAAAATTACAAAAAATGTGTTCGTTTTTAAATTTTTTCTTTGTTACATGAAAATGTTGCTTAACCACTTTTGCCGTTTGCACTAACAATTGTGTAATTCTCTGAAGGCCATATTGTTTACTTGTCGTTATTCCTCCTCATTCAAGGTTTAGTTATTCTGAGCGATGAATAACTTTCCGGCAGAGGAATAAATATTTATTCCAACAGTTTTTCGGAAGAGAGGAATTGACATTCGGAGTGTCAAAATAGTATAAAATTTTTTAATTATCATTATTTTTTTGAATTTTTAAATACATGAAAAGCTAACAAATATTGTGCAATTCAACGTCAAGAACTTTGCCTTCTTCAAATCCATACAGTAATCAAAAAGATAAATATTTATAGCACAGAGCAGAGGAATAATTCTCTGCACAATTGCAGTGGAAAGTATTGCGGCTCGGCTTTTCACTTTCGCGTAATCGATTGGTAAATTCAAAATGATTTTTTTTATGAAATATAATGTTAATCATAGGCCATGTACGAGTATCCAAGCTATTGATCAAACGCAAAGGAAGACGATTACAATTAATTGCGCGATGTGGATTAGTCGTAGCATAGTAAAATACCTCTGCAAATATGTAGACAGTTTCTTCCTCTATAATGTGGTATTTTTATGATTTTGATAAATGCACCTGATTTGACTTAGTTTGGGATGAAGGTTTGATAGAATTTCATTTATTGAAAAATTCGAAAAAAGATAGAGCTCATTGTTACACCATTACTGGACAAGGCCTAAATGTTTACAGCTAAAAAAAAGTTTTTTTTTAAAGGTGGTAATCAATTAAAAAAGTACCAATCGGTCCATTTTTGGCAAAGCTATGGGTATTTCTAAAAAATAGAACTCTCTCAATAAATCGAGAACGGCTAGACAAAAACATAAAAAAAAATCTGGAAGGATTCTCTAAGTTGAAAGTATAACATAAAAAGTTATGAAAAATATTGGAGATGCGAAAGCCATTTCAGTGCTGGAATGCCCCGTGTTAGGAAAATTAAAACAAAACATGGTTAGCCCTAATGTGCGTCCCGAACTCGCATCTTGTTTGCCAAACACCAAATTCTCAACAGAACACCTACCTAAATCACATACAAAAAAAAATTGTTTCGACACGCAAAAAAAAACTTGTGTTGAGTTAATAGTGACGTGACTTTCCATACATGTGTGAACTAATAAAGGCAAAGGGACGATTTCAATACCCTTTCGACTCTGTGGTCCCGAGCTTCGTGAATATACATATAAATTTTTGTGTGATTGAAATTGATTATTGCACGCTGTTAAATGACGTCTACATTTGAAGACTACCGGCCAGGAAATAGTTAGAAGGGTTTTGAAGGTATCGGAAATAATTTTTTTCCGCGCTTAATTGCCAAAACTGTTCAGAATTGACTTTTATGAAGCTACTGAAAAACTCGGACACGGTTGTATTGGTATTATTTTATTTATATATTACAAATTTTCAGCGAAAATTCTAGAAATGTAGACTACAGAGTACAATAAGGTTTAATCTAAAGATGGAACATTGCATGTAATAAAAAAATAATGCTGCTGCCTTTTCAGATTCTTGCCTGCTTCTATTTCATTTTCAATATATTATAAAGGATAATTACAAACTAAAAAAACAGTTTCTATTCATGTAAGTATTGTTAAAGCAATTGTAAAAGTCAGTAATCAATTTTTAATGAATAACATGGAATAACTGCCTTATTCGCCCGATTCAGACCGATTAGTTATTCCACGGAATATCTTTTCTGACTTTCTTATTACGCCTTATTTAGTTTTTTTCTATGCGCCATTAATATACTAAATTCCGACTAATTCTCCTCTATTCCGTGGATAATCTTATTCTGCCTTATTCCTCCATATTCGGAGTGTCAATAATATGGTCGTAAGTAACTCTTGCTTAATAGCGAATGATGAAATGTGGCATATCAGTCGAGAGAAATGCCAAATATGCGAAAAGTGCAAAGAGGAATAAGAAACAAGCATATTCCCCCTTCCGGGAAAACGGAATTGGTTCGCGCCAGCAGCGTATTTTTAAGGAGCCGAAAGTCTACGCCGTTAAATTTTTGACCAGTATTATATAAATATAATGCAATGTATGCAAATGCCATTTTTCGACAAAACTTTTACAATTTGTTCAATTTACTTTCACCACAAAATATGCAAATAAAAGCTTTACGACGCAAAATGAGATGCTGTTAGCTTAATCACAAAACAAACACTGATAAACAGTGGTTTGGTTAAACAAAATTAAGTGTTTCTTTTTATGTAGATACTACTACCTAACCGCATATGAACCTCATAGTTTTAGTTAGTTTTATTCAATCACCCTCAATTTTCCTTAAAAATTTACTGAAGCGAGTACGCATATTTTGCTTACCAAAGTGTGATTCTAACAAATTAACGTTAAATTACACTGCATCACGAATTTTAATATGATTTTTCTTCTCCTGACGCCACTATCCAATTTGTTTGTAGAATTGCCCGCTGATTCCAAAAACCGAGTTAATTTCAGATACCCAGAATAATAATTATTTCATGGTGAAGTTTTAAAAAAGTCATTAACATTTTCGTAAGAATTATAGAAGTCTTTTGATAATAATTTTGTATGAGAAAATTTTTTTAAGTCATCGATAACTGTTATTTTAAGACTTATATAATAGAAGTCTTTTCATAATAATTATCAGCGAGATAAATATTTTTAAGGCTTCAAAAACTTTTATTTTGAGACTTATATTATAAAAGTCTTTTGATAATATTTATGAGGGCGAAAAAACGTTGTGTATAGTCCCGAACGGGTCCGAAACCAAGCTCCAACTGCCCCCAAGCTATTCCGCAACTAGTCACGAACTGGTTCCCAACTAATCCTGAAATGCGCCTGAACAAGTCCCGTCTTTTAAGACTTAATAAATTTTTTCGCGCTCATAATTATTATGAAAAGACTTTTATAATATAAGTCTTAAAATAAAAGTCTTTGAAGACTTAAAAATATTTATCTCAATGATAATTATTATGAAAGAACTATTACAATATAAGTCTTAAAATAAAAGTCTTTGAAGACTTACAAATATTTGTTTATCTCTCTGATAAATATTATGAAAGGACTTTTTAAAATAAGTCCTTGAATAATAATTATAGATGACGCGAAAAATATTTATCTTAATATAATGATTATTGATTGACTTTTATTCTTTTGTCTTATAAGGGAATTTTCTGTGATTGTGTGTAAATAATCTTGATAACAGGGTAAAAAAAACAGAAATTCCCAAAAATTAGCGATGCCAAAATAAAAGAGGGACATTTTTTAGGGCCATAAATTAGAGACCTATTGGCTGATTAACAGTTTGAAGAAAAACCTTATCCGATAGAAAAATCAACATGGACCTGTTTTCGAAATGTTGTTCGTAATTTCCTTGGAAACAACTTTAAAAGAACAAAAAAAGTTGTTAACTAGAGATAACAAAATGTAATGTGATTTAAATTAAATTCAAAATCGCACTACTGATCTGGAAAACCGATATACAGATCCATTACCTATGTACCAAAATTAAGGTTAGGTGTCACGGCGTTCTTTTTTGTGTCATTTCAAAACTTGTGATTTTAGCTTTAGTGTTATTATTCTTAGTGCGATAACATTCCTTGTGATGATCAGCTTTTAAACATTTCTTTGTAAGATTTGCCAGTTCTGTGTTGTCCGTCAAAATGGATTTCAAAGTTTTTCAAAATTATGTAGACAAATTTCCACCCTAGCCATTATTTCTTGCCAATATCTACATCGATTGTTAACGAGCATGGTCAATGTACAGATGGATATTTAACTCCAGCAAACTTATGCGAAAAGTGTGTTCCAACAAAAGCAATAAAATTATTGTATTGTTTTGCAAAATGCTTCAAATCCAGTGTTGCATGCATTTTCTGTTACCAAGGTATTGCTACTCATATACTTATGTAATATCTAGGTGCAATCATATAAGCCTTTACCATTTGCATCAAATGCCTTTTTTCTCTTCAGGAGAAGGATGTTGAGTACACATAAATATGCGTAGTGCACAAGAAAATCTCCACTCCGTTTCCAATCAAAACAGCATTTACGCATGGGTGCGATTTCCAAGTGCATTCTGCCATGAAAAATAGGCGGCCGTAGTGGTGTAGTGGTTAGCAGTGCGCGCTACCATTCCGCAGAGCCTGATTTCAAGCCCAGCTTCCGACAAACAGCATAAAATAAAAAAAAGATCTTTCTAATAGCGCCCGCCTCTCGACAGTCAATGGCGAACCTCCGAGGGTATTCTGCCATGAAAAACAGTTTCTAATAGAAATACAAACACCATTCGGAGTTGTAAATTGTTGGTCCCTACGATTTGTATGGCAACATCGAGACGCATGCCACAAATCGGAGGAGAAGCTTGGCCAAATATAAACATATTGTGTAAATATGCGCCAATGTATGTATGTACATACAGACGGCTTGATGATCATAATGTGGATTTTATCCGTATGCACGAATATCTGAATATACAAATAATAATAATAAAAAAAAGAGCCCCTCTTTGCTAAGCAATTTCGCATGTCGCATTTGGCTCAAAGAGCCACGTTTGCCCACCGTTGATACATACTTAATTTTTTAAGCTTGCATGTTCTTAATTCCGATTTTAAGTTCGGAAATGCTAAGATCAAATAATTGGATTCCTTCTCTGGGTGTAAAAAAAAGTTTTTGACCATTTTTTTGCATAAATCAATTCATAGGACTTGCATCCAACTAATGGAAATAACTTTGTTTTCATGATTATATGAATTAACTAAAAACCTACTGTTATACCTGATTTTATATTAATTGCATTGAATCTGTACGATCCACAAGCAGTTAAATTTCTCTCTATGAATTTCGTGTTAGCTCACTTTAGATCAGTGGCGTGCGATATGTGTGGCGTAAAACAAATTTAAAATTTGTTTGTTGAGTTCTAAACATTTATTGATCAAAATTTTACAGTTTACACATAAAATGTTTAAAATTTGTTTAAAATTTTTTTTTTAATTTACGCATATAAAGACAGGTAACTAGTTTCCTTTCCTAATGTGTGCAAAACTAAACACTGCCTGTTTACTTTTACTTATAAAATTTGTCACGTAGAGAAAAATTACACACAAAGGGTTTAAAATTGTGTAAATATATTTTATATATTTTAGAGATTTCATGTGTATATTTATGTGTATTTTTTAAACATCTTATGTTCAAAATCAAATCTTGAAAATCTTGTGCGTATATTTACACCGGTTTTGGTTGAAAATTAAACACTTTTCAGTAGTAGTTTTACATGCACTTTTTAGAGTGCGGGTACAGAACGCATTACTTTAACCTAGGCATGCCATTGGAGCTAAGCGAGAAAGTGAAAAATTTTGCCTTGAAGCGTGTGTTGCAATGCGTTACTACATCGACACAAAAAGTAAGCGCTTACTTAAGAATCAAAGTTCTTGCTGGGTATGTGCATCTGTGTCTATGTGCGCTTGTGTACGCACTTGTAAACAGTGGGCGTTTGGAGGTATTAAAAGCTTCTATTTCCACTTCAAAACAGCCCAAGTCCCTAAATGATTGTTAAATTTATGTTTTAAATGAGAGTTTTAAATTTCCTACGTAATTTTTGAGCTAATTTTAGCCACATCCATTGGAGATACATAAATGTGCACTCACTTCTTGTAAGTTACGTTCTACATGTGTACGTTATTTCTTTGATTATTTACTCACCGTGTGATGATGGTTGATAAGGTGATGGTGATGATGATATTTAGTCGAATGATATGTTTGTTGATAGTAGGAGCATAGCTTGAAGAGATGCGACAAAGCTGGGAAGAGGAATAGCAGAAATTTGAGCAGTAACTTTTTAGCTGCGCCAACACCAATAATCAACGGCAACAGCCAGAATAATTTGATTTTGATGATTTTTATAATGAGCAAGAGCGCCAGGAATGATAGCAATAATTTGCTGCGTATAAATTTTTCTGAAAATAAAAAAATTTAGTAATGTTATAAGTGTTTAGTTAGAATTGTTTGTGAGCCAATTTCTACAAAAAATATTGCCGTTTCATTGCCCTTAGTATTTCTGCGTAGGCGGCACTGAGAAGGCAAACATTTTTAGCAATTTGAAACCTAACAACGTTACTTACGAATTTTCTTCATAATGATTTTCCCAGCCAAACGCGCCTCCACCTCCTGTTTGGGTATCAATTCCAGTTTTGCAATAATGCCATTGCCTTCAAATGAGCGCGGTGAGATACGAAAAGTGGCACCATCGAACATCACCTCTGGCAACTTCACTTCCAGATCATGTGTCATGGCGAATTTAATGCTTTTGCCATAGAGCGCGTTCGTTACCTCTTCAATGGGTGTTTCAGATGTGTCGGTAACTGTAGAAGATCAAGAGAATGTTGATAACTGATTAACAATAAGAAAAGATGTCGATTAGTAAATTTTCTTTCTCTCTCTATTTCTGCCAATTTAATGCTTCACAGAAAAATTATATTAAAATGCTGTTGCTTACGTATGTACATACATCAATCACACATTTTTCAAGGCAGCTTGACTAATGTATATAAATACATGAGGCTTGAGCCAAAGGCAAATTAGCATAGGTTGCACTTCACTCGCTAGTACTAAATATATCCTACTTCATACGAATATTAAAAATCTGATAGTTTGTGAGTGAGTAATTCAGTGTGCATGTATGTTTGTTGCTACTTAATGGCTGATTGAATTTCGGCGAATTTTGGCACACAGATAGGCTATATGTAGCATTGATTAACATATAGGATATCTCTTGAAGAGAGTTGCCATCTTTTTCATACCCGAGCGCACTTGTGCACACGGGGTATATTAAATTTGTTCACATAACGATTGCTTGCTTGTAACAGCCAAAACGAATCGGGATAGATATAGACAAATATATACATATGTAAATGCTCAGAATGAATAGAGAAGTCGATTAAGCGTGTCCGGCGGTCCGATAACTAAATAATAAAACGGACTGTAACCACGCCCACTTCCCATATATCGGTATTTTCGAAAAATGCAAACACTATCATATTTCAGTAAATATTAGATCCAAATTGTTTAAAGTTGGTATATGCATCAGAATTTTGGTAAAAAATAGTATTATTAGCAAATTTTAGGAAAATGGGTGTGGCCCCGCCCACTTATGATGAAATGCTGTATCTCAGTACAATCCTTACCCAACTCGTTACGAGCCTTGCCTAGCGCCTAGCTAAGAATTCTGTTGAAAATCTTTGAAATCGGGCAGTAACCACGCCCACCACCGGTATAACGGTAATTTACAGTTTAAAAATAAATCTATTTTTGCCGAATTTCGTCAGAGGAACTTCGTCGTCGCTTTGGTTCTGGGTAATCTCATATACTGCAGCGTGTTTTAATTTTGGCAGAGAACTTTCTTCCGACGAATTTCTCTGAGCGATCTGATCCTGTTTATACTTCCTTACTTGTTAAAGTAAAAATCAATCAATTAATAAGATAAATAAAATATTTCTAACAAGGTGAGCTTCGAGCGAAAGGGGTTCCAAAATGATTCATTTTGAAAATACTTTTAAAGGAGATTGCAACTGTTAAAAATTTACAATCGAATTATTAATAAGTAAAATAAAATATTACGATTTTTTGCAAAAATAGACTTTAGGAAGGTTGCCACCTGTTCTAAAGTCAGGCTTAAATAACAAATTGAATTAAATTTAGCTAAATAATTAAATATGCGTATCAACCAGCCTAGGAATTTAATCTCACTTTAATTGACGAGGTAAATGAAATCCTACTAATATATAACATATTTTCAAAAGAGGGTTGCTATCTCCTCAAATAGTTAAATTCAATTTTAAATAATAAATTCAACAAAATTTTTTAGTATGATTTTGCCCCTCGAATGAGATTTAAAAAAAGGTTTAGTAAGAACAATTTTTTGAGGAGAGTGCCACCTATTAAAAATTTGAATTCAATTTTATAAATAAGTTAAATAAAGAATTACAATATGGATGGAAAGTAATGAGGTTTAAAAAAGCTTAATTTCGAAAATATTTTGAAAAATGTTGCCACCTGCTTAAAAACAACCAATAGTTTTTGAGCTATAACAACAGTTTTTGAGCTATAAAACTGGAAAGATAAATAACGATAAGAGAATGATTTTGTGGTGGGCGCGGAGTGAGAGGGGTCTTAGACTTTTGTTCAATTTCACCCAAATTGAGAATCGTGCCAAATTTCTACCGACATTTTTTTCTATGGCCGAGTTGCGAAACATATCACAATTTCAAGTTTTACTTATTCTGCGGTGAAAATCCTTGTCAATGCCAGGTAGAAGGGTTCTAATCTTTAGCCGTTCTAACCCAAACTAATAATTTTTACTTACCAAACCGTTTTTGCTTTTCACCATTACTTTTGCATTGTCCGACGCGGAAGTGGTAATCAGGCGCCGTGAAGGAAGCCAAACATTTGCTAGTTATTTAATAAAATAAATATGTAACTAATAGCTCATCGCCTTTATGTTTATTAAATTATTTTCGACACCACTATCTGCTTCCTAATCCATTGAACCACTTAGGTACGTGGAACGCTTTCTGTACTTCATCTGTGTAACGCTCGAAAAACATTTTCAAATATTTGATTTCTAGGCTTAAGGTATTTAAGCACTCTTACTTGGCATTAAACCTTTCATCTTAATGCTTCCTACTTCTAAACTATTTGATATTTGTGTTTATTTTAGGTAAGCAGCAATCAAACTATCTAACGAAGCACTTTAATAGAGTGCCAATTAGTCAGTTGCCAAATTGAATGGAATGGGCGACTTAATATATAGATTAGATTTGCGGCCAAACTCTTAGATTGGATTTCACTAAATATACAGCGACATTGATGTTTGTATGTATGTAGTTAGTTACAATAAGTGTGTTTGTGTTAGAAAATGAAATTTGTGGCGTAGGATTTCACATACATACGTACATGACTCAATACATACATACACACATACATATGTGTAAAAGTAAAAGTGTCGGTTCTTAATGGCAAACGCGGATGGCGAAAAGTAAAAGCCAAAGTTCGAAGGAAATTTACAACTGGCGTCATTAAAATGCCGCCCAATTACGGAAGTTGTGTGGAAAAAGTTAAGCGTGTATTTTTGTGACTAAGAAAGAAAAGTAAAAGTAAGCTACATATTTACGTTTCAACTAAATTTTGGTGAGCTTTAACTGAAATTAACAGTGCAGATTTGTTTTTGTTTTTAATTATACCCTAGTACTTAGAAAAGAGAGTTTTGAGTAGATATGTGTATAAACATGTGTTTTTGTGGCCACTGATATTTTCCAACGAATCAGAATCTGAACTACATATCGACCGCTGTTTGCGATTTTATCGTAAGCGAAAAAAGGTACATTTTACAGGAGAAGTTTTTTTAATTTAATTCCCCTTAAGCAGTGTAAAAATTAATTTGTATTTAAATGGCCAACAACATTAACGAATGCTAGCTTTCTAATAGGACTATTTATTTTTGGCATACCTTATTGTCTAAAGGTAAAATGGCGATATTTTTCCTGAACATGCTGAAAGGTAAGTTATCAAAGAATTGGTGGCCTCGTATGCGCGAGGCTTCGCCACTGGCTGAAGGAGTACATTAGTATGTACATATACGCATTTGGTGAAAAAGGTGGCAATCCTATTCAAAAACATAAAGCCTTACTGCACACCTAATGGCCAAGCAACCAACGCATCTTGCAATTTATAACACAGGCGGCAACACTTAAAAAATAAATATATTACCTTAC